GGTTGCTGTGAGCTGTGATACCACTGCACTCTGCCCAGGGCGACAGCTTGAGGCTCTGTCTCAAAAAAATAAATTAATTAAAATTTTAAAAAGGCTTGACTTTGGAATAGAATCCCAGCTCTGTCACTTGCTGCGCAATCTGGCAAATTTCTTCACCTCTCTGTGCCTCAGTTACTTTATTTTAAAAAGGAATAATAGTATCACCCACTTTCCAGGGCTGTGAAAACTCAATGGAGTAAGTCAATAAATGAATGGAAGGGGAAATGCAAGACGTCGGTTTCCTCTCTCCTATGTCTCAAGAAACTCTCAAACCAAACTTCCCACTCTCTGCGCGCGCTCTCGCTCGCCTCCATTTCTCACGCCCTACTGCAAGCAAAGCCTGGCAGACAGCCACGGACCGGGCAGGGAACTGAGGCAGGTTGTCAGACTGGCGGCAGTAGAGGGAGACCGCTTCAGACTGAGAACGCGGGTGGAGGAACGATCGTGGCGGAAGTGGGGCCCGGGTCAAGCAATAGGAGGGGTTCCCAGCCAGGCCTCTGCACGGTGGAGAAAGGTGGAGCCCTCGGACGTCCCGCCCATCACCCTTGCCCGCAGGGGCGGGCCTTAAAATACCCCGCCCACCTCGCTCCTCGGCAGATACCGCATTAAGACCCGCTGAGCCTCGGGAGGCCCCGCCTAGCCTTGCGCGGCGCCCGCTCGGCTCCTGCAGGAGGAGAAGAAGGAGCGCGCAGCTGGGCCCGCACTGCGGCGCGAGCCGGCAGCAGAACCCTGGAGCGCGGCCTGTCTCCAGCCACCGAGCCGGCGTCGCACAGGCAGAAGGGCCGCAGCCACAGTCACAGCCACATCCACAACCCGGATTCCGCTTCACATCCCGCCATGCCTTCCGCAGTCTTCGCCTGAGGCGCGGCCGCCAGCGCGCGGGCGGGCCTCGGGGCCGGCGGGGCCATGCGCGCGCTGCCCTGACGATGCCGCCCGCCGCGCCCGCCCGCCTGGCGCTGGCCCTGGGCCTGGGCCTGTGGCTCGGGGCGCTGGCGGGGTGCTCCGGGCGCGGCTGCGGGCCGTGCGCTCCCCCCTGCCTGTGCAGCCCGGCGCCCGGCGCCGCCTGCCGCGTCAACTGCTCTGGCCGCGGGCTGCGGACGCTCGGGCCCGCGCTGCGCATCCCCGCTGACGCCACCGCGCTGTGAGTAGCCGGGCCAGCCGCCGGGACACGGGCGGGGCGGTTGCCATGGCGCCGAGCGGCTCTGGCCTGACCAGTGCGGCGAGTCCGTGCGGGGACTGTGGGGCGACGGGCAGCCCTGGGGCTCCAGGACACTGGAGTGAAGGCCGCACTGGGCAGGCGGCCGGCATGGCGGGCTCGCGGGGCGTGGGCGCGCTACCCTGCCTTGGGAAGGGAAGATGGAACGTGGGCCAGGCCGCTCCCAGGGCGAGGTTCCAGCGCGGGGATGTCGGCCCAACTAAATAAGGAAAACCTGGAGCGGCTGTCGTCGCGGCCCAGAGGGAAGCGGAAAAGTCCTGGTTTTGGTGAAAATAAACATGCCACCCGGTGGGGTTCCGCGAGCCTGCAACAACGTGCGGGGGCGGGGTTAGGAGGTCGCAGGGAGTAGCAAAGACAAACACGCTCTAATTACAGACTAATTAGGATGCTGCCCTGGCTGGGGCATTCCCTGGGAGCTGGAAATCGCTGTCTGGCCAGCAGGGAAGGCTTCCTGGAGGAGGTGTCTGGAGGAGGATTTGATGGATGTGTAAGAATAGTGCTGGTACTTAAGGGACAAGGACGTAGGTCTAGAGGAGAGGAGGGAATGATGTGAGCAAAGGCCTGGAGGCTGAATTCAGCATGTGTGGCAGGGGCAGGACAGGATGGGAGGTGGGCTGTCAGGGGGGTTGGGGTCATGAGGATGTCTCAGGTGCCATGCTCTTGAGTTCCAGAGCTGTCCTGAAGACAAGGTGGGATGATTGCCATGGAGGGGTTTTAAAACATCAGTCAGGCTTGCTTTGTGGGAATAAAAACAACAGGCAGCCTTTATTGAGAGGTTGCCTCCAGGCTGGCCTATGCCAGGCCCTTGTTGTAGATTGTCACACTTGCCTTTTCCCTAATCCTCTGAGGCATAGGTAGAGTCATAGATAAGGTAACTGAAGCTTGGAGAGGTGGCATGATTTGTTTAGCTGTCACAGCTGCGATGCAGCAGGACAGGGTTTTGGACCTGTGAAGTGCCCTAGACCCAGGGTTAGATTGACAAGGGCACAGGGGACTAAGATTTGCAGTCATCTCCAGGGGTAGGGGGCATCACAGGGCATGTTGATCCAAGGCTCCTAAGCCAAGATCCCATCTCAAACTGGCCACGTGCGGGTGTGTCTGGGGAAGCCGTTAACATCCTCAGGCCTATTAAACCTGAGTGTGGGCCTCAACATTTGTTTTTATAATGTTCCTGGGTGACTCTCATTGAGCCACCTTTAATTAGGGGAGTCCTGTGTCTGGGGCTGGATAGTCTTGAGGGTTGGAGAAGAACACTTTATTCAGGAGCAGCTGGGAGTTGTGGGTGCTGTAGATACCACATTGGACTTGTCATAGTATTCCTTGACCAGTGAAGCTGAAGCATTTGTGGCATGGTTGTTTCTGTGGAGATGGCCCCCTGGCATGATGGCAGTGCCCACAGAATTGTATCAAACCTACACATCCCATTATTTTTCTGTGCTATGGATGTGGGTACCTCTGTCTCTGCTGGGTTGGATGCTCTGGGGGTCAGGCCTAGCTTGTGCCAGTTGTCTCTGCATCCTCAGTTCCTGACCCCATCCATCCATTGTCCTAGCTTTTCAGGAGCTGTCCAGGAAATAAAGGCTCCTGGCAGGTTGGCTAGGGTTCTGTGATGAGGCTCAAGCACCTTGCTGTGGTCCTGGGATTTAGAGGAGGGTGTTCCTGGGACCTGGTGGTCTGTTGCAGCTGGCAGGATTCCCGGAGTGGCTGGCCCCTGTTATTGTGCATTAGGATATCAGGGTCACTTCATGTGAACAGGTGGTGAGCGATAAAGGAGACTCCATGCTCTTCTGTACAGCCCCAGAGCTGTCTATCTCTTGGAGATTTTCAGAGGATGAGGGGAGAAACCATGGGAAACTGGAGCCTTGGGGGGCAGGTGGTAAGGCCCCTGCTGGTCCCCCCAGGCCACCATCTGTGGTTTGGGCTGCCTGGCCATTCTGCTGTCAATTCTTTTTATTTTGAGACAGAATTTCAGTGTGTCACCCTCAGTAGAGTGCTGTGGCGTCACAGCTCACAGCAACCTCAAACTCTTGGGCTTAAGCGATTCTCTTGCCTCAGCCTCTCAAGTAGCTGGGACTACAGGCGCCTGCCACAGTGCCTGACTAGTTTTTGGTTGTAGTTGTCATTGTTGTTTGGCAAGCCT